AGTATTTTTTTAAAAAGTTTGGGAAATCCACTTTAATTACACCTGTCCTTGGATGTGTCATTTGCAAGATCTGAAACATTTCCAAAGTAGGCCCAGCCATTTAGACTTTAAATTTATCATTTTGATATCATAAGGAGTGTCCTTAGTTTTGACTTCTGGTTAGATGTTGCAGTGTAACAGATGCAGGAAGACAGGGCTCCATCTTCCATGTTCGACTTTGCCCCACTGGGGACCCTAAAAAGGGTCGAAAGTTGCCCCAGAGAGGTGATGAAGAAGGAGGGGATCCTCGTCGATTGCAGAGGGGTGGTGGCCCTTTCTCTGGATCTGAGGAAGCCCTCCAAACTGGTGGGAGTAAGACTGGCTACATTTGTGTGGCCAGTCAGAAGCTTCTGACAACCGAAGATAAGCACTAACTAGCACTTTTTTAGCAACGTGGATGGAACTGGGTGAGACTTTATCTTCTTTTTATGACCTTAACATTACTCTCCTGGAAAAAAAGAATGTCCAAAGCAAAGAATCCTCCCTGATGAAAGAGGGAAGGGAGGTTTTTGCCTCTCTCCCTCAGGAAAAGAAAAGCAGTGAATTAATTGCTTTGGGGAAAATAGAGAAAACTACAAGATCAATTTGGAATTAATACAGATATATAGCTTTGACATTTCGGAACTAAAAGTACCTTTGAGTCTTTTTTTTAGAAAAGATATTTGAAAGTCTGTAAAATCAGCTTGGATTTGGAATGCTGGAAGATGGTGAAACATAGCTCTACAATTTATTATGCTTAAAGGAAATTTGGCTCGAAGCCTGGGCTTAGATAAGACTCTTTGTTGTTCCTGGAAACTTTCACTTTTGCAGACTGCAGCTGGGAAAAGGGGGAAAAAAACTCTTGGGCTGCTTATCTGTGTTGGGGACCCTATTGGACTATAAAGACTACATAGAAAAACAAAATGGGTGTTCCATACTTAGCCTTAAATGGTAAACAATCATCTTTAACACTTGTCTCCGAAGCCCCCAGCTTGATATACCAACAAGAAAATGTTAATGAATCTCAGAAAGAAATTCTTTCCGTGTTGAAATCAATCCAAGAGACAATTGTTTTATTTCATGATGGGACTAAAAATAATGCAAATGAGATAAAAGAACAATTTTCTAACCTAAATTTACAAATCCAGACAATGATTACAAAGAAACTAGTAACCCAGAAAACAAGGAAAATTAGAAGAATCAGATACAAAGATGGAGGACCTAAAGGAAGGAATTAACAGACAGATACAGACAAATGAAAAATTAAAAGATGCAGTGATAACACTGGAAATGGAAAAGATATCTTACTTGTTAAGATCTCAGAACACATTTGTAGATAAGGAAGAAGAGCTGATCGAATGGATGATAAAGCTGTTAGGAGAAATGCTGAATATTGACAAACAAAAATGAAAAGAAAAACTGAAGGAAAAGAATGGAGGCTGTTTAATGAATATAAATGGGTTGAGCATTCTTCCAAAAATACTTCAATCAAATTTTCTTTCTCATTCCAAACAATATATACAAAAACAGAGGAAGAATTACTTGATGATTCAAATGCACTGACGTGGAAAGTTATTTGGCAAAGGAAGAAAGCTAGAGTAAGACTGAAGAAAATAGAGGTTTTCTTAGATGGGATATTATACTATTAAACAGATGTTTGAATAAGGTTAAGAAAATAGATAACTGTTAGAAATAATATTATTATAATTAGAAGGATAGGATTTGTAACTAGAATATATGAGATGGGAAATATGAAAATTCTAAAAGGGTTTGAATAAGGAAAGCTTTTGGTTACCCAAATATAATTTATTATGAGAAAATTATAAGTAATAGAGACAGGGCTTTTTTGTCATAGAATGCCCAGAACAGAGTTCTGGCACCTTTTTTGGATGGAACCTTGTAGGGTAGGCAAGGTGGGTTGCATGACATGCGTGAGTTCCGGCACTTTTTTTTTTTTTTTTTTTACAAAAAAAGCACTGAATAGAGATACTTTGAACATTAATGGAAAATTAAAATTAAAAAAGCAGGAAAAACAGGATATTAAATGAACAAATGGATTTTAAATGCAAATGTAACTGAGATATGTTTTGGCTAGAAAAGATATAATAAACTGACACTATTGATATTATGTATAATACCAGAAAAATGTGATGAAAATGTCTATATTTAATTGTATATGTATTAACAGTAACAAGAATTGTATTTGCCAGTGTGGAAAAATGCATACCACTGGAAGAAGAGAGGATCAAGGAAGCACTGGATGGTGTAGTATTGGAACTAGATTGAGAAAATTAATATGTATCACTGAATTACCAATGGACCCAGACAACATGTTGTTTATTAAGTACATATGATTGTAAAGTTAGAAAATTAATAAAATATTTATATACTGTATATATAAAAAAGTGTCCTTAGTTTTGTACATGTGCATTTTGGAAGTGCAAGTTAAGTCCCACTTATATAAGTATACATTTTTGAATAGTTCATAACAGAGAACTCAGGCAATAAAACCTTTTTATTTTAGGATAGCGTTTCCCAATGTGAAAATTTTCAGATACATATGAGAGATGGGGATTATAATACAATATAATTGAATGATACCAGGATAGGAAAGGCTTCTAATTTTGAAAAATCATGACACATATTTCTTTACCTCAGAGACTCCCTATGGTGAATTCTCTGTGAGTTAAATAACTATTAGTACTCAGTGATCCAATTTGGGAATTAAAAAGCATTTATTTAATTCATTTAAACAGTGAATTTAATTGGGACTAGAAACTATAAAAAGGAAAGTCTGTCTCTGTGTGTGTCTTAAATGAATTCCTTAAATGCTTGCTTTTTACATACCTTTTACTAAATACCTACGAAAACCTAACTGATGTCTGAATATACATTACAGTATATACATTACATGTATATATATTATATGTCAATCTGAAATGGTCATGCTATATATTTTAGGACTACCACTTTGTATGTTTAAAAGGCATGTTTTTAAACTCAATTCGATATAGTGATTAGAAACCAGGAGACTGTGAGTTCTAGTCCTACCTTTGGCATTAAAGCTAGCTGGGTGACTTTGGGCTAAGCACTCTCTTTTACTTCAACTTTCCTCACAGGGAACAAGAAGGAAGGCATATTAGATATGCTCACCTCCTTGAATTATTTGTAATCATATTAAAAGTAAATAAGTAAGCAAGCACTGGATCTACTAGAGCATTTCATGACAGATGATCATCCACCCTCAGTTTGTGAAGGACAACGCAACAGGTTATGTAGCAGTCTGTTTCATTGGTTGAGAGCATATATAGCCTGACTATATATGTTCTCAACCAATGAAACAGACTCCTGATGTCCATCCTATCTACTTCCTTGAAGTAGATAGGACTCTAATATGGATTCTCTGAGGTAGTAGAGAATAAATAGGGTCGCAAAAAGGGAGTTATTATATCTCCTTTAGTTGTCCTTTCTATAGCCCAAACACACCCAAACCCTTTAACAATTCTTCATTGAGCTTCCTTTCCAGGTACTAGTTTGGAAGTCTTCCTCTGAATTGTGGAGATTTTGAATTTTGAACTGTGATGCCCAGAACTGGAAATCAGCCTATCCTATATGTGGCCCTTATAACGTTAGGAATTTCTTATGTATTAGATATTTTAACCTTGTATTTTGATCATTGTAAGCTACTCAGAGTCTGTAAATACTCAGAGTCTGTAAATACTCAGAGTCTGCTTTAAATCCTATGGATAGACAGATGAATAGATAGACAGGCAGGAGAAAATTGCATTATTTCAGATATCACAATTTTCTACCTGCTTGTGCAGCAGTTCCTGAATTATATTGCCTTAGCTTGTCCATGAAGTATGCTTTGTACTGCAATGATCTTTTATAAAATGCTTACCATTTATTTGCTGAGCACTCAATGTTCCACATTTTAAGAACTGTGTCATATTTTGAGCTAGCCATCTCCTATGAAATTGAAAGATAAAAAGGAGAAGGACCAACTGATGACAAATTAATTGCTGTTCAGATGGACAAACTGACTTCTTTGATTAGAGAAAAGACAATGTTTACTTTTATCAGTTACAGACTTTTTGCATAAAAATGCACAAAATGAACTTTGAATTATGGTTTTGATGATTAAATAGGATAGACTATAGAAAGAAGAGAGTCACAATATAACTTTAGAGAGAGGGGTTAAAATATAATTGTAACTATAACTGCTGTGAAGACTATAAGAATCTGCTTCTTTATATCTTTTTCTTTTTGTCTACTTCTAATTTTTTCTTATTGCATTTTTAGATTTTTCTTTTATTTCTTTTATTTTTTTCCTTTCCTTTTCTCTCTTCTGTTAGTTCTTATTATTGCTGTAAAAACCTTTAATAAAAATTGGAATTAATTAAAGTTCACACAACTCATTGTTGCCAAGGTTGAAAAACACTGCACTAGAGAATGCCTGATTGGGGAAGACCATTCTAAACTGATATGAAATGGATGGAAATATAGCATTGCCTATATGTTGGCAAGCATTCATTTCACTTCATATAGCAGGATTGCTAAGGAAGGAAGGAAGGAAGGAAGGAAGGAAGGAAGGAAGGAAGGAAGGAAGGAAGGAAAGAAGGAATTACATTTCAGTCAGGGAACCTTAGTCTGTGTAGCATGGTGGGTAAAGGGTTGGAGTTACAGTGAGGAAACCCAGGTTCAAGTCCTTATTCAAATATGGAGTTTGTTGTGTGATGATTGTCATTTTCTCTTACCTCAGCCCATCCACAGGGCTGCTGTGATGATAAAACTAGGAAAAAACTGCACATACCACCTGGACGTCTCAATAGAAAGGTGGTGTATAAATACAGTGATATAATCAAGCAAGAGCTCCCAGTAATACTGGTACTAAAAATTATTCCAATAAAACAATCTTCACCTTGTACTTGGCATACCCAGGGAATGCTTTCGAATTAATTAGTCATTATTTTTTCTATTAGGAAAGAGAGAATTCTCCCCAGGAGAGCCCAACAGAAAAAAACTGCACCCTGACTGGGAGAGAACGGTCAGAATACATGCAATGGAAGAAAGAACGGGATCAGATTGATCTTGAGAGGCTCACCCGCCACAAGAATGCAAGGGGTGAATGGCGACGGGCTTGGGATGTAGAGAAAACCAAGTGCATGTAGGTTATCTCCATGTTATCTCCCTATATGGCATAGGTCGTGGAGGTCCTGTTTCCCCCTTGTCCAGGATGTTCTCCAGGTCTCCTCTATTAAGTGAAACCTTTGGCATTGATAAATTCACCATCAATTACAAAAGGCAACTTTACCTGGAACAGCTTATGTAGTGTGTTCTTACCTTTCACATCATCAAATAACAATTTCTATCTATCTCAGGTCCTTGGGAAGAACTCAAGAGGTGGATAAAAATGCCAAATCCAATCTAAACATCTAACTGACTGTGCAAGCAACCATAATAATATCAGTCTCTACACATTCTGCATGTTGCATATTATACATTGGTAGATTTTATAATCTGGTAGAACAAGAAATCTCCAAATTTCAAGAACACCTTTACTGGCAAATGGCTTATGATTACTAAAGAAAGATGATAGTACATCAATGTCTGCCTCAATAAATGAATTCAGCAATCCCTATTATATTGCCAGCTATATATAATTGAATGAGGAAAGGGTATCTCTGCATATTTAGAAACAAGATCTTCACAATTTATTTTCTATGTAATCTGTAAATCTCTCTGGGTCTCTTATTAATGAACATCTCTCACAGATTCTACAATAAATTTTTGTATATAGATTAGATGGCAAACTAGAAATCATAACAGTAAGGGTTTTTCCTGACTAACTTTTACTTATGGCAACTAAATAAAATTGATGGAATAGTTCAGAACAGTCTGAACACAACACTATATTATGAAACCCATTGTAATTCAGTTCATCACAGTTTTGTAATGTCATTGCATTCGATGGCTTTGAAATACTTAGAAAAGATTAATCTGTCAAAGTTCATGAATTATATTTTTAATTTGCAGGTTTGAGGATATAAGGGATGGAAAACCAGTCTTGGACTGTCCCCAGAATAAAAAAGGTTAGCAAAACTACTTGAGTCAAGAATTGATTCAAGTATTTTGAAATCATGAACGTTTCAATTCTTGAATGTTTTCTTTGCTTGCTGTCTGATTTTTGACTACTGCCAGTATGGTTCTGATTCTACTTATTTTTTTAAGTCCTATTTTATGTGATGAATCATATGTTTAACATTTTTATATGAGTTAAAACTCACAAAAATGTCCAAAATAAAGGATAGAAGGCAATGATGGGACATGTAGTTCCATGCTTCAATTCCTAATGCAGTCTAGCTTCTATGTGGTTCTGCAGAAAATAAATATAAATAAATAAACTTTAACCTTAAATCAGTGTTTGTTACAGATGAAAGACCCCAATAACTTTAATTTTGGAATTAAGTAAGGTATCCAATATTTCAGAAAAGAAAGCAACATCATATGGAATATTACATTTCTGTGTTGTCTTAGAATACAAAAATCCTGATTTCCAAAGAGATGCTTCAGTTATGTATCTTGGTTGCTAGCATAAATCAGCCTGTTTTCACAGTATAGAATTTAGTTGCTATTAAAAGTAGTTAGTTTGACAGAGAAGATTTGAAGACATAGTTTACAGAGCCTATGCTGAATACTAAATGTGGTATTTAAAGGTTAATGTACATATTCTAATTCATAAAAGAAAAGATACTCTTTCAGAAAAATTGGAGGTTTTACCCTGTATGTAGGCATATTGTATTATCAAACAAAAATCTTTCCTTTGTTTATTCACTATTATCACAGCTCTTTCTCAACTTGCAAAAGTGTACAGATTTTCATGTTGTTCTTTGTTCTTTCAAGGGGGGAAAAGTGTCCGGAAGTCCCAGTTACGAGCTCTACCTTCTGATGGGAAAGGTGAGTAGATCCAAGAAACAAGTTCATGTATACTACAAAAGGTGACTGCTTTTCATAGGCTACTTATCTTGGGAAAAAAGGGGGGTCTTGAAAAAGAATTATATAACAGAGGACATTTTATCCTAAGACCATTATTCAATCCCTGGATGATTCCAGGAAAAATGATCAACTGCTACTAGTGTAAAAGTCAATAGATCTGTGATTGCTTCTCTCTTTGAATGCTATAATGCAGCTGCCATTGCGGCTTTGTTTATTGCACTTTGACTTCATCTTTGTTGGAGGATATTTGTGCCATTGCTATAAAAAAGAAAGTGATTTTTTTTCTTTCCCAGAAACATTTATCACTTCTATATAGACTCTCTTTTCTTCCTGTGAAGGCATAACTGGACAGGTAACTGGGGAAAAGTGTGACAAACAACACACCAGATGCTACCATCAGAAGGGTAGATAAGGATTAGAGTTAGTTAGTTTGCTTCTCTCTCTCTCTCTCTCTCTCTCTCTCTCTCTCTCTCTCTCTCTCTCTCTATATATATATTATATATATATATATATATATATATATATATATATATATATATATATATAAAACCAAGCAAATAAACGTGAGCACCAGGGAGTATTTAAAAGTTTTTTAGTAAAATTTAGTAAAATTTAATACAATATCAATAAAATCACCATAAAAATTAATAACTAATTATTAATTATAGACTCTGGCCAATCTATAAAAGAGGACTCTCCCACTGACCGGCATTTTGAGCCCTGATGATGTCAGCAGTCGCTGACGAAAGCTAGGCGTTTTATTAGTTATTAATTTTTATGGTGATTTTATTGATATTGTATTAAATTTTACTAAATTTTACTAAAAAACTTTTAAATACTCCCTGGTGCTCACGTTTATTTGCTTGGTTTTAAATATGGATATACCCAGGGATCATATCTTTAGTGTAATTGTTAATATATATAAAAGCTCTCTGAAACAAGCCTTGCTTCCAGGGCCAACTTAATTTCGGGGGGGGGGCACAGGGGGCTAGTTCACAGTCCTAGACCTATAAAAGAAGAAAAAAAATGCCTGTTGGCTTCACCACACCTCCAGTATTTGGAAAATTGGCAATTACCAGCAGTTTGTCCCAGAACGAATCATTCCCAACTCTCATGGCAACATGTCCTGCCAATCATTACATCTACCATTTGAGACTCAAGAACTTGAGGAAATTGAGAATCTTCATTGACAAAGGACTCTACAAATCAGTCACAGTAACACGGTAGAAGAGTTTCATTCTCCTCTGTTACAGGAGAGTATTTGGACATTCTAAACAGGGCTTCTTCCTTTGAGCTGATGCAGATAATGCAATGCCGTTGGCTATGGTTGATTTAACCTGTGGTCAGAAACAATGATTCTCTGGCTTGTTCTTGACTTCTTTCTACAATCTGTTGTAAAACAACTGAATAAATCATGGAAGGGGGTGATTCGTGACTGACTTGTAATTCAAACCTATCCTATGAACAGTCTTTGAGCAGGATTGGAGTAGAGTGCATAGGCACAATAGCTTGTCTTTAGATTTTTTTTAATTTTTCATCTATTTATTTTTCACACTTCTGAACCAGGGACTCTTTGGTTTGCTATATCATCTGAACACACTCACAGGGAACATGTCCAAGAAGTCTCCCACCCAGATGGTTGCCAAATTTATATCTGCTTAACTGAGGGATAGTTTCTATGGAATATGTCAGGGGTCTTCAAACTTGGCCCTTTGATGACTTGTGGACTTCAACTCCCAGAATTCCTCAGCCAGGTACTCTGGCTGAGGAATTCTGGAAGTTGAAGTCCAGAAGTCATAAAAGGGCCAAGTTTGAAGACCCCTAGTATAAGTCTTCAGCCTAAGCCCCGATACCTGATGAAAGAGGACATTTTTCATTTTATTCAACATGATTCTCCTATCCCCATCATCTGAAGGGATGAATGATCCTATGTAGGCTAGTATCATAGATTAAAGCATGCCTAGTCTGTTTCTGAATTGTTTGGCTCTTTATCTGTCTATGTGGCTTATTTTTCAGGTGGAGGACAACGCAGGAAGAGCAGCACTGAGTCAGTTTCCAAATCACTGCTGGTGGTGAGCAGTAAAGCCAGAGGGAAAGATAGGTTGACAGGTAGAGCCAGAAGGTAAGAGAGTAACTTTTAAAAAGATTTCACACTTGTTAATACAGTATGTGTCCTCTTTTAAAGGAATAGAGCAGGGGTCTTCAAACATGGCCCTTTTATGACTTGTGGACTTCAACTCCCAGAATATGCTGGCTGAGGAATTCTGGGAGTTGAAGTCCACAAGTCTTAAAAGGGCTAAGTTTGAAGACCCCCTGGAACAGAGTATCCATTTCAGAATGGTATTTAAGTTGCAAACTTTTTCAGCTATGTATTTTACATTTTAAATATTCACATTTGTAAATGTACAGCTTACTTGCTTAGAGCAGTGTAATATTTTCCCTAATACGTCCATGTAACTTCTTCACTATGGAAGCAGTTTGCCATTGTCTTCTTCCTGGATAGATGGATGGATGTCCCGTTTAGCCTACAGGCTTGGAATTTCCTGTAATCTCCCATCCAAGTACTAAGCAGATTTGATACCAAATATTATTTGAAGAATAGCAAAGTAACCCAACTGGACATGTATTTAATCATTTTTTATAGGTCATCCTATAGAGGCAATCTGAAAAACAATTAAAAATGCATTAAGTAACTCAAAACTCTATTTATTTAAATACAGGTTAAATAATTTTTAGGGTTAATAATTTACAGGATAAAATTTTTTTAAATAAAGTTTTGAGTTACTTAATGCATTTCTAATTGTTTTTCACATGGCTCCCATAGGAAGACCTATAAAAATGATTAAATACATGTCCAGTAGGTTACTTTGCTATTCTTCAAATAATATTTGGTATCAAATCTGCTTATTTAAACATAGTAAAGTTAGATTAAAAATTAAATTTCATAAATACAAATAAAATTAATGATTCCCAAACACAAATTTTAATTTTGAAATAATTAGAAAGTCCAGATGGATAGCTATCTGATCATACCTACTATAGCCAAAGTACAATGCTGTGACATCTATGGAGATTCTCATAGTTATCCCAAAGGTGCTTTTCCACGAGACAAGTGGACTTTCTTGTTTTTTCTTTGAAGATGTTTCACTTCTCATCCAAGAAGCTTCTTCAGCTTTGGTTGGTGGGGAATGGCAGGATTTATACTCCTTGCAGATAGCTGGTCATTTGCATTCTTTTAGAGAGTTGTTGAGGCCACCTGGAGGTTTAATCCAGTCAGAGCTGGAGAAGCTTCTTGGATGAGAAGTGAAATGGCTTCAAAGAAAAAAACAAGGAAGTCAATTTGCCTCATGAAAAAGCACCTTTGGAATACAATGCTGTGAGTCTATATTTTTATGAACCTCAGAGTTCCTCTAGAAAAATTGAATCCTCAAACTGGGTAATTTTTTTCATTTTTTTGAAGTGTTGGATTGATTAAACCATTTAAGTGATTATTAAGTGGTTTTCTTAAATTGTCCCCAAACAAACAAACAAACAAAAATGGTATTGAAAAAGACTCTTGAGAATACTGTGGACAGCCAAGAAAACAAATGATGCTTCATTGAATAAATCAATCCAGAATTCTCAGTTGAGGCACAAGTGACCAGACTTAAATTATCCTACTTTAGACACATTAAAGACCCAACTGTCTGGGAAAGTTCCTAATGCTAGGAAAGTTGGAAGGAAAGAGAGCAGGTTGACCAGCAGCAAGGTGGATGGACTCAGTTATAGTAGCAATGAGTGCACCATTGGGAGAGTTGTAAGAACAGGATGGAGTAGATTGTCATGGCGATAATCTATATATGTGGTCACTAGAATTCAAAAAAGACTTGATTGCACATAAATAATGTCTGTCTGTCTATCTGTCTATCTGTTTATCTGTCCATCTGTCTATCATCTATCTATCGTCTATTCTGAAAAGGCAGTTCTTTGAGTGTTGCTGGGATATGGCATACTTGAATGTTTAGATAAACTGAAACAAGAAAGTAGCTAAATTTGGCTCCTGAAATTGACTGCTACCATGATGTAAAAGATTTTAGAGCTAAAGTAACTTTGGACAAAGTATGAAAGAGTTGTTAATGGATGAAGGAAGGAGAGAGTGATGAAGAGATTACACAGTTCAGAGATGGAAGGAAATGTGAGAACAGAACTTAAAATAATTCCACGTAGTTTTTATTTAATATAAGATGGGACAAAAAGTGGTTTGTGTGATTTCTAGCAACCCTTTGGGATAGCCCAAGTTAAGAAATAGATTCTGTGGGGCTTCCAAGAATGCTACTTTATATGGTATATTAATAGATTCTTGAATACTCTAAATTCTTTTACACATTCTTCCTTTAATGCACTACTTTTTTATTAATATCTATAATTAATATTGCTTTTTAATTTGTGTGAAACTTGATGGGAGTATAGATGGCATTGACTCTCAAGGCATATATTGCTTTATTTTCTTTGTTTTTATTTTAATGCTTTTAGATTAAGCCGCATATAATTTTTATATAAAGAACTATTAGGCACGATAGAAGGCAACAACATATTTCTTTGTTTAATTGCACTCATAAGCAAATTATTGAAATGGGGAGAGGGTATTTGATTACTGTCTATTTATTTAGATATACCTTGGCTGGGTTAGTGTGCAATTATGGATGCTCTGATCTCTAAAAAGAGTTTAGTCTCTCCATAAATAAAGAATTAATTTTTCTCAGCCACTTTAAATAGGAAAATCTAAAATCTTATATTTAAATTTGGCTGGAACAGATTGTCCACAAATAGAAATAATTCCTGACTCAAAGGATGAAGATTTAAAGCTAGCAGGAGATTACTATCTAGGCAGCAATCGATTTTGAATTTGTCCAAGAAGAGTAACAAGCTATGAGAGACTGTTATATGGTTAATGGCAGTTCCTGCCCAATGTATAAATTCTCCAGGACAGATCCTATTGACTGCCCCATTTAGAATATCAACCTGGACCTGAATTACTAGGACTCTTGCAAAATTATAGCATTTCTCTTTAGAAGAGCAAGCTGCAGGGATGGTAGTGGCGTTTACCTCTCCTTTTTTATTAACATAAATGGCCATTTTATAGGGACCCATCTTGACATAAAAACTACTTCTTATAATTGCTATTGCTAGTGGGAAGCTGGCTCTTAAGTTTATATACCATGCAGGTTAAGGACCCAGTCCATAAAATCCAGTAACAACAGGAGATTCAGTGCTGCTGCTGTTTATTTCGACCAAAGCAACACATGACATCTTAGTTCGTGGAAATAAAAATGCCAATTCTTTTTGGTTTGCCCCTGTTCCCATGTGAGTTAATGCTCCAAGTTTCAAATTAAATCTACAACCTTTAGATGACTATAATATCCTCAGAGGTGACCAATAAGTGAAAGATTTGCTTTTGTTACATTAAACACATTTTAAAAGCATTTTTAAATCAATTTAATTGCAAAGGAGGCATTTTCAGTGGGTTGCACTGCTGGAATCCTATTTGAAAATTCTTCCTTCCCCCACACATCCCAAATTTATAAGATTGTAAAAAACAATTTTGGATTGTCCGTACGAATTTCAGGAAAAAATAGGTTATATGACTTATGACTAACAGTGCTTCTGTTTTTATTAAGGGAGTATAAATGCTAATAATCTTGAGCTGCAGCTAGATATCATTGGTATTTAAATTATTATAAAACTAGCTCTGCATGTGTGCCCCAAGGACTGGAAGAAAAGCCAGCTTCTGGTCACATAAGAAAATAGGAAAGTCAGATATCTAGAATCTAATTGTTCTGTAACAGCTTAATAGAGTTAATAAGTGGAGGATGAGCTTTCTCAACTGAGAAAACAAAAATATGCTTTTCAACGATTTAGCATGTTAAATGATGAACAACCAGGAAAAAAAAGCAGACAAGTTTCTGTCTTCCTGAAGTTGGCCTGTTACCAAAGATTGGCAACTTTTGAAAGAACAAAACTGAGATTTGGACTACTATCCTAACACATTTACCTGGGTATAAGTCTTAATAGAGTATTCTCTGAATACAGTTGATAAGGATTGTGCAGTAATGTAAATATAACTCGTGACTTAGAAACCAAATTTGATGCATTAGAAGATCCTTACTTTGGCTCTTATCTTTGCCTATACCAAGACATCATGCTTGCTGAAATGGAGAACATAATAAAACTTTTTCATTCTATGCATGAGGGCTGATGGTCAACTGTTATTGCAACTCTACCCAGGTGACAATGTATTTTTCTTCACCTGTGAATTTGGGTACAGAGAAAGGCAACATGACGTGCCAACTATGTCTCTACTACCTTCGGTTGGCATCTTCTACCTAATACTGCCTAAAGGTAGGATGGAGCCTGGTCTGATCACTCTTATTTCAAACAAGATATGATATTTTAGTACTGATATCACACTGGTTGTGTGAGAAGAGTAAATATTTTATTTTCTGTGTAGGAATAATAATGCTGCACTGCAAGGGTCCCCAACCTCCAGCCTATGACCCAGTGCCGGCCGTAGCCCATTCAAAATCGGGCTTCAGAATTTTTTTGTCGAGCGAATGCACATTTGTGAAAGTAGCACATTTGCAAAACCATCTCCTCTCCCCCTCCCCACTGCTGCCACCTCTGCCAGTCCCCCAAGCGGGAAAGGGTGGAGACTGCTGCTAAACTGTGTTTCATCAAGGATATGGAATCTTTAAAAAATTATGTAGCATTGCTGTTATCATTATTCAAACTCTTTGCCTGGAGGAAACTTTTTGAAAAGCAAAAAATCTAAACAATGAACCTGCATACCAGGGATATCTTGATCTGTCAAATTTCTGCTCATCCTGGTCTCTGTCTTTGTTGTTGTTGTTAATTGCGAAGTCATGTCCGACCCATCGCGACCCCGTGGACAACGTTCCTCCAGGTCTTCCTGTCCTGTCCTCTACCATCTTCTGGAGTCCATTTAAGTTCACATCTACTGCTTCAGTGACTCCATCCAGCCATCTCATTCTCTGTCGTCCCTTTCTTCTATTGCCCTCAATCTTTCCCAGCATTAGGCCCTTCTCCAGTGAGTCCTTCCTTCTCATTAGGTGGCCAAAGTATTTG